CTGGTTGAACTACTAGTCCGATTTTATAAACGTCTGTTCTTTTGTTCTTCCTATTTATTATGTATCTCCTCTCCTCATCAGCACGAGGAGTAACAGCTTAGTTTTTCCTCCTATGTGCATATACATGCCATTTCATGCCTGCAATTTTAAAGGATGTTTTACTTTCTGCCTTACCTTAACTGCAAGAGTTCCAACATAGCTTGACAGTTGGAGCCTTGTACTCCTGTATGTTTAGAAATGTGCACTTGATGACCCTAATGGGTCAGTAGTGCCACTTTTGCTTCTATGTTGTGAGGACACTTTTGCTTGGTTGTCTCATTCTCACCTCTAAAACACTAACCCAGTGAAACTACACATCTAGGACCCTATCTTACACCTGGAGATGGAGAATGAGAAGCTTCGCAGCATTCCCCATACCGTAGTTCCTCCCTTGTCGGTTAGTGGTAAGAACATTTTGACACTGTCATACTACGAGCTAAGGATCAATTCATTACGATGCCATCAATTGTATAGTTCTGAAGAATTTTTCTTTGAGCTTCTTACCATGTCCATTTGCAGTTATGGATGTCCAGAAACTTATTGTTGCCCATACTTTTTCCTTTGTGTATCAATGTTTGATAAACTTGCCAGCGTCAGTAACAAATTTATCTAGTTGGCTGGGTTGTGGAACTGAATTAATCCTGTCCATGCTCCAGACTACATTTCCACTTAGAACCTACTCTTAAAGTTTAAATGTGACTGGCATAGGTATGTGCTTCCTTAATGGACCACTTCATGTTTCTTCCCACAGATTGAAGTTGTGCAAAAGTACGCTACAAAGAAGAATATTTTTTCAGTCTAAAAGGTAAAATACTGAGTATTAGTTTTTCCCTTAAATTTTAAATCAATTGAGAGGACAAAGTGCGGAAAGGATGAATCTATAGTCGCCAAACAAATACAAAAAGAAAAATCATCCTCTTGTGGTAGTTGCATTGCAGTCTGAGTTACTGACTGAGAACTGCTGTGTACAATTTCATGATGATAGATTAAGATACTGTAGAGTATTCGGAGTTTGCATGCATGCCATAGCCTCTTTAGGCACACAAGGTTTGCTTCCTGCCTGTGTTTTAGCATAATACATGTGTTGTACCTTTACTTTTACCCAGCAAAGGTATCTAAACATCACGTTAGCTATGGCCATATATTCAAGGGACACCGGACTGAAATCAAGTTGTTGTATTTTTGGCAACAGCAAGTAGAGGTGTGGCTTGTGTTTATCTGCAAGAAAGCCGGCCCTGGTCTACATACTGGACGAGGATGAAGATGAAATCTCTGATTCAGAATGACAGTTTGTTCAAGAATTTTTGGTGGTTATGCTCGTGTTGCTCCAGTGGGTGGACCTCCATGCTTGAAGCTGCAGACATCAGTGTGAGAAGCAATGCATGTGGGCTTTCTGACTGAAGCGTTTCCACTCCACCCTTCTTGGAGAGTCTTAATTTATACCTGCCATGTGCCTTTTCTGCTAGGCAGGCATTTGTCGAAGAGGAAGATGGAGTAAAAGGCAACTATTTATGCATTGAGTTAGATAGAATTGACCGAAAGATGCTGAGTCATGGCTTCTATCTGGTGGTAACTGTCTTCATGGTATTGCTGCAAGCCGTGAGACCTACTCGATAGTGCCAAGCTTTTGCTTCATCTGTATATGTTTATTATTTTCATTTTTAAGAGAACCAGATGTTTGGTTTGGATTATTTATACTTTGGGTTGAATGGTTCATGTAGTGTACTCGACTAACGAACTTTTTCATTTTAATGTTGAAATCTCTCACCCGAATTGACTCAGTCCTCCACGTGTCATTGTTAAATGATGCATCCCATCCAATATACCAAATACATTCTTGTGTGGAACATGACTAGCTAGAGACATATATATATATATATATATATATATATATATATATATATATATATATATGGGGTTTCAAGGTGGCAATAAAGAACATATGCTTTATTATGCTTTATTCCAATCTCAGAGATTTGGAATCCTCAAATAAATGATAGGCTTAAGATCTTGATATTATGTCTACAATATCGTTAATGGATTTCACATCCTCAATAAAGAGTATCATGTAGTCTTTTCAACTTAATGAAGTATAAACATTTAGGAATCTAAAATTGTTTAATTGAATTATTCTTTCTCTTGGAATTATCGCCAATCTTGAGGAGAAAGAATGTGAATGTAACATATGAATATGTGACACTTCTCTTCTTATGTTTAGGGAAAAAATCACCAAAAACCCCAAACTTTGCCATCTGTGACACATTTATCCCGAACTTTTTTTTGTGACACCAAAAACCCCGAACTTTGCTTTTTGTGATACATTTACCCCAATGTATTTAGTCCATGGGCATTTTCGTCTTTTTTGCTTTTTCTTTTTTTTTTTCTTTTTTTTTCCTTTCCGGCGAGGGGGGGCCTCGCCGGCGTCGGGCGAGGGCTGCCCTCGCCGGATCCGGCGAGGGGGGCCCTCGCCGGCGTCGGGCGAGGGCGGATCTCGCCGGCGTCGGGCTAGGGCGGCCCTCGCCGAGATCCGGCGAGGGCGACCCTCGCCGGCGTCGGGCGAGGTTCGCCTCGCCGGGCAAGCGAGGCGGCCTCGCCCGACTCGAGCGAGGTCGACCCTCGCCGGTGTCGGGCGAGGGTCGACCTCGCCGAGCTCGGCGAGGGCCGCCCTCGCCGGGAGAGCGAGGCGGCCCTCGCCCCGATCCGGCGAGGTCGACCCTCGCCGGCGTCGAGCAAGGGCGGCCCTCGCCCGGATCCGGCGAGGGCGGCCCTCGCCCGACTCAGCGAGGTCGACCCTCGCCGGCGTCGGCGAGGTCCGCCTCGCCTCGGCGAGCGAGGGCGGCCCTCGCCCGACTTAGGCGAGGTCGACCCTCGCCGGCGTCGGGCGAGGGTCACCTCGCTGAGTCGGGCGAGGGCCGCCCTCGCTCGCCTAGGCAAGGGCGACCCTCGCCCGACGCCGGCGAGGGCCGCCTGGACGCGGATCCGGCGAGGGCCGCCTCGCTCGACGCCGGCGAGGGTCGACCTCGCCGACGCGGGCGAGGTTCGCCTCGCCCGGGCGAGCGAGGGCGGCCCTCGCTCGACTCAGCGAGGTCGACCTCGCCCGACGCCGGCGAGGGTCGACCTCGCCCGAGCCGGGCGAGGGCCGCCTCGCTCGCCTGTGCGAGGGCCGCCCTCGCTCGCCCAGGCGAGGGCCGCCCTCGCTCGCCCAGGCGAGGGCGAACCTCGCCCGACGCCGGCGAGGCCCCCCCTCGCCGGAAAGGAAACAAAAAGAAAAAAAAAAAGAAAAAGCAAAAAAGATGAAAATGCTCATGGACTAAATACATTGGGGTAAATGTGTCACAAAAAGCGAAGTTCGGGGTTTTTGGTGTCACAAAAAAAAGTTCGGGGTAAATGTGTCACAGATGGCAAAATTTGAGATTTTTGGTGGTTTTTTCCTTATGTTTATTATTTTTCGTGATGATAGCTTTTTGTGAACTTTAGTTGAATTTACTCCAAAATTAAATCCTCCTTTATTTATTGCCTGTCCAAATCTTCACGTCTTCAATGAATTTACTCAGTATTTCAACATGAGCAAGCCCTCTTCTTATCATTGTAGCCTCAAGAATCCGTATGAGGACTCGAATTTGTGATCCAACGTATGGTCGCCACTCACATTTAAAATGCGTGGGAAAATTGCAGGTTGTCTCTCCGGTGAATGACACGTATCCCTGACCTCGTCTTCTCCCCTCCCCTGGCACAACACCCCGTTCGTGGACAGCTTCTTGATCCTCTGTACGCGTCGCCTAGTGTCAAGAAGTTTCCACATCGACATTGAATTTCTCGACTATTGGATGCCTATTCTTAGCCCGTGGCTTCATTTTGCTGTCCACAGCCTTTTCTGAGGATCTTTCTGTCAATGTGAATACGAGGCCGTGCGATCGCGATTCCACTGCTCCTTTATGGATGCTCTTCCTTGGTGAATCTGCATTTAAGGCCCTATAGCTTCTCGTATAGTAGGAGTATCGCTCAGAGTAATCTTAAGTCCCCGTCCATCTGCCGCTCGGAGGTCACCAATGAGGTGATGCATGAAACCTTGATGGGTGTTAGAAGAATGCCATGGTTTGAAGCAAAACATCAAAGCTTTGTTGGAGAACTTTGAGGGAAATCACGGTCACTTTCTGCGTTTGGTATGCACTTGATGAGGGTATCCCACTGGAGATTTCGAGTCCTCTTTAGCTGTCGTTGCATTTGAGTGGGTCGTTTGGTATGATAAGGCAGCTGGTAGTTGAAGCCTCATCCTTGATTAAAGCTGAGCTAAACTACTTTTTCTTTTAGACGTGAGGATTTTGGAAGGCAAATTGATTGTTCTGTTCAAAATTGGTTTGAGGCTTGCAGAGGGTATTGCAGCCTGGTTGAGGAACTGCTTCAGAGGCCTCATAATGCAACCAAGCTTTTGATTGGTAATTGGTGCCTTCAAGCGAGCAAATTGCTTTTTTTATTTCAGATTTATCCCATTTGGAGTTGAGGAAGTTCATCCTAAATTTTATTACACCGGAACCTGATTTACATTGTCTGCTACTCTGCCCGATGTCGACCGGTGCAAATGTACATTGTCCCCTTAGAATAATTACCGAAAGACCAAAGAAAAAGTAGCTGGTGTGGGGTCAGTCTATACCGTTTTCTTCCATAGGTTCATGATTAAATTGACTCAAAGTTACAATATAACTTTCATTTTGGCTAAAAACTTCAAAATGATGCTTATTTGACCGGCTAATCTTTGAGATGAAACGCGCTAAAATCCGAGCAAGGGAGCGCCGTGTGAAGGACTAGTAAGACTAATAAGAACGAGAGGATTCAGGATCCTTCACAAGCTCACTCTATCGGCCCGGCCCGGTCGACCTTTTCCTCCATTGTTGTTGAGCTTTATTATATCCTTCACAAGCTCTCTCTATACCGGTTCACATTTCCTTCCGACGCTTCCGTACGCTCCCTCGCGATTTGTTCAAGCGGAGCTGGTGGCTGCGGTTTTCGGCTTGCTATGCTTGGCCGAGCTCTCTAGCAATGGGAGAACGACGAAGGGGGGCCGCCGGCGTGTGCGCTTCCGTTTCAGCTTCAAGTTCGACAAACCCCGCGCTTTTGGCTTCTCAGGTTCGGCTCCCGTTCGATTCGGTTTTGGTGAGGCTGTTGCTCGATTTCTTCCGGTTGTGCGGGTGAAGAGGCGGACTGGAATCCGGCGAAGGATTTGCTGGCCATGGTCACGAAGGTGGGTGCTTCGTCGCTTCGATTGGCAAGAGGCTGTGGACAATCTCTCCCGGTAATTGCTTCGACTCGAGAAAGTTCTCTTTTTTTTTTTTTTTTCAGTGTGTCGGCTTCTCAACGATGGCTTGGTGTGTGCCCTTTGAGTCATTGGCCTTATCTCGTTCTACTTCTGTAGCTTTTCCTATATGTGCCACGCTTCCTTTTTCGCCATAGGAACCAACTGTAATTGCCAATCTGGTTCGAATTGCCTTTGATGGATAATTGGACGAATATAGAGGGATAAAGTGCTTGAAAGTCTACATGAGAAGGTGACGTTGAACCAAGGAGTTGGTCTTTTCACACAGAAATGAAGAGCGAATGATGGTGATGCGAGTCGAAATCTAGTGACGACTTAGTTGCAAGTAAGCAATTCCAAGCTGGTATTAGTTGAATGAAGGGAATTTTATTTACCGGCGCAATAGATTCTCATCAACTTCTCAACCAGGTTGTTGCCTTAGAAGATTTTTTCCATAACCTAGCCGACAGTCATCTACATCGACTGTAAGTGTACCATACTCCTGCATGGCCATCTTGTTGCCCTTCTTCGTACACCAGTTAAAGTGTCCATGACATAATTAACATGAATAGGAAGGGATGCCATTTATGCTAGATAGACTAGCTATGTCAGATGCAGAAATGCTTGATGCCCACTTGGAGTTCGCAGGTTTAGCCCCTGCAGAATACCATCTAAATGTTCATCAGGCATCTAAAAAGATCTTCTTAGATTTGTGATGGTGACTCTCACATTGAAATTTTACTGCTGGCTCCTCTTCTTTTACTGATTGAGCATTCTTTTAATGAATGAGCTTGCCCTGCAAGGAGAGATTTAGTGGATACTGAAATATAGATTATAGACGGAAAGTTTCTCACATTTTGTATTACTTGAAGTTTAATTTATCTTCTTTTCATTACAGAGGGGCATTTCGTCACATCATATTGATTAATCAAGTTCGCTGGTGGGAGTTTGACTTTTGAATAGGATATAAATCGAGCTATGCTGCATACTTGTATGACAATCTGGTCGGGAGGGACAGAGGGAGGAATTGGAGAAAGCAAAGAGACTAGGAGGGTAAAGGGAGTTGCATCCAAGTATGTTAAGTTCCTATATGACTTAAATCTGTTGCTAATTCAAATTCGTAAGAGCTTAGGATTAGATGCTTAGCCTTGGTAGCTCTTGCTGTCTATTCTCACTGGAAAAATTTATAGAGGAGATTTTTTTCTCGAGAAACATCTGAATGCTTCGCTCGTCATATTGTCTTCTGGATATGGAGAATGTCTTGAGTGCAATATAGTACTTGAGCCAATCCTGAATGGTGTCTGATAAGATCTTAAGTTACACTTGTAATCCTCGCCTGAAGTTAGCTTTCATGCATCCACTCCACCTCGAGGTTCCATAATTGAACAGCGATATTTTTTATTTTTTTGATTCAGATATTGAATCGGAGCCTGCCACCAAGATATAGATTCCCTCGCTTTAGACGACCTACTAGCCCAAAGAAATCCCATATCAAGTGACCAATATCCCTCTCTACTATTTTGTACAGTTGTGATGTTTTGCCTCACTTCGCAAATTTTGATTAACATTTTGTCGGTTAATGTGTGTGCTCTATCTTTCCTCTTTCTTTTAATTTTTTGGGAACAAATTATTCATCCTCTCTCTCTCTCTCGCTCTCTCTCTCTGCTCTTTGTTTATGATGAACTCACTTTCTTTGCACATTTCAATGTGTGTCGTCAATTCTGGCTTTTCTTAATCATTCTACCCTACTCAGGGTAAATGTATAACATCATTATGCTGGCGTCCTGATGGCAAGGTTGTTGTCTGGGGACTTGAAGACGGTATGGTTTTACTGCATGATGTTGAAGTAAGTTTTCTATGTTATTACTTTAACATTACCCTCACAACTTCTCAACTATGAATTCTTCCTGCAACAATCCCTTATCATCAGAATGTGTTCTTCTCTAATCTCTCTTGGGAAAGATTCTGAATTGCTCAAAAGCTACATGATGCAATGCAAACAGCAAGCTTGCTCAACGAACATTTAGCTGCTAATAGAGATGGCAATCCATGTTTATGGTTCATGTCTGCCAATGTCAAATTAACAGTAAACTGCTCGATAGGTCAATCTGAGCAGGATAAGCTTAACAAATCTTATTAGAGTCCAATGGCCGGCGAGCTCCGACAACCCTTGCCGGCTACAGTGATCAAATGCAAATGTTGATCAAGGTCACTGTAAAGAGCCCTGTGAAAGTCATGATTACTATTGCCTTGTGAAGCTGTAAAGAGCCATTTCTGATTTATAGTGTTTAGGTCTTACGATATCATAAAGTCCTCTTTCTTTCCTCATAATGAATAACACCTTACAAGTTGTGTCTTTTGACTTTTATCATTTACTCAGTTCTGTGGACAGTCCTACTGTGGTTTTTGTGATTTCTTCATCTTTATAGCTTATTTTAATCTGGTGTTTATTTACTGACAGTTTTTGCTTTTACAGGTGACTGATATATATGGAAACTACCTTTCTACTGAAGAAGCTAATGGATCTAAAGTGATCAAATAGAGGAGCTTTGGAAGTTATGTTAGATTTAAAGTTCATAGATGATGTTCTTTCTGGAGGTGATTCCACTGTCGATGAGGAGTTGTCTAGAAGTTCAAAGCCATAGTATTCGTTTAGGCAAAAGGATCAAAGACAGAAAAAGTCTGCCATCAGAACATGTATAGAGGGATTGGTACATTTGTCTTTTGCAGAGATTGGATCCCGTGGACTGGCTCGCGTAAGTTACTGGATTTGTTTTTGCAGTATATATTCCACAAGCAGACAGTACTCCAAGATGTTTTTACAAAATCCAATCTCACTCCTCACTAATATTTGCATCCGACAATTCTATACCTTGATTCTGTTTTTCATATAAAATTGTTTCCAAGAATATCTTTTAAGCTAAGAGATGGAAGATTTTATATGATCCGTGTTTAGATTAGAGGATAAATGACAATAGTAGGAATAGAAAGAATTTTCTTTCATGGTCAAGTGGTTGCCCTTTTGTTAAACCTGGGTAGAAGTTATTGCATGTGAGATTATTCTGATACGTGAACAGCTCTTTCACATGTAAATGATGCTTAGATGATGATGCTCAATTTTGTGCATTTAGTTATAGTGTAGACATATTGTCCAGAGATGACTGTGTACTAAATGCTTTTTTTGGAAAAGGTGGAAAGGGAGGAACACGAGGGTTGAGGGAAGAAGGTGGGACACAAATTAAAAGTCCCTAGGATTAGCAGTGATGACTTCATATGAATTCATAAAAAATAGTTACAATTTTGGAGGTCTACTTACTATGTTAAAATGTAGCAAGAAATGGCTAATTGACACCATTGGACCATCTATCTAGTACTAGCTGAGTTATGTTTACGTCCCAGTAGGCGGTTCTCTTCATTTTGTTGCAGTTAACTAATAGTGCTTTCTTGTTCATTCATCAAAGGTTAGAGCCATATCTGTGGGAGAATGAAAGACAGTCATATTTACAGCATGCTGTCCTCCTCAGGTTCTTCATACAACTTAATCGGTTGTATGTGGATACAGTGCAGAAACTGCCCTTGAATTCAGAATCAAATATTTTGAGATGCTCCACAGTTTCCCGGTTTAAATACTTCCAATCAGGTTAAATATGCCTTTCCATGTGTTTGTGTCTGCAGGATAAATATTTGAGCTTTCGTGACCAGATTTCTCTTATTATTGAATTCTGTCTGCAGTGTACCTGCGTTGTCTTCAAGGAAGACATCTAAAGCAACTACTGGTGTTTCTATAGAAGGTTTTTCATCGAAGAGTCAGAAATCTTATAGTAATGGAGAAATTTCTTGAACGATTGATTTGGACGACAGATCGTCTTCAGGAGTAGCAAGTTCCATTGTCGAAGTCTTTTATGCAGGTGAGTGTGCTTTCTTTCTTTTGCTTCTATTTCTTTACCTTGTTATATATTATTTTATCATGTCCCTGGCTAGTCATCTACCTGCTTTATAGAGCTGTGTCGTGAACATCTGTGTTGGAGATGATATGTCACTTTCTAAGCTCTATTTGGACTTAATCTTTCAGCTTTGATATTTTATTATTTGGAGAAACTTAAATTTGATTATATCTTTGATTGCCGGGGTGTTTATTGGGGGTTTTCTGTTTCACTGCATGCATTAATGTTTGAGTTAACCGAGTCATTTGTAACATCCTGGATTTTGACCTGTTATCGGGATCAATAAAGTGTACAGTAATTCTCGTTTGATTTTAGTAAGTCTCCTCCGGACTTGATCAATCACGGGATACTAACCCAATGGGAAAGGCTAAATAGGAACAGGTATGTGGATTGAGGACCCGATCGCGATTGAGCGCCGATTTCGACGAACGTCGATGGAATATTTTGAATCAATATGGGCTAATCTTAGGAGAATGACGGATTTATATAGTCAGTAAAGTACGATCGGATCGCGGGTGATTCCGCACGATCGAAAGTACGCCTGACTAATGGATCCCGATTTTAATCCAAATGATCGCGACCCCCGGTACTAGAGATAATTCCTCTCGTTCTCTCAAAATCCAAGGCCATCATGACTCGGACAATCTTAGGTCGATACGCGTAATACCTAAACAGCTGCCCGTTAGTGAGAGGCCCTAAGACTTCAAAACGAGTTATTTGATCGCAATATTGAGCCCGAACTTCGATATCAAAATTTCAAGGGTAATTACGACTATTTTACAAGACGGACGTCATTTTAGAGTGGCCACACACGTTTGGGACTAGTACAGTTGAAAACGGAAATTTCGACAGAAGTTGGGGAAAATTACGATTTTGCCCCTAGGGACCTCGATGCCCATTTCCGAGGCCCAAACGAAATAATTTTTCGGAATCGATGCCATTTTGGGGTGGCCACGCACGTCTGGAGTGCATACGGTCAAAAATTGGAATTTCGACCTCGGAATGAAAAATTACGGTTTTGCCCTCCAAACTTTTGGACCGGTTTTCGAGGGCTTAAAAGATGAATTTTAAGGATCCGACACCGGATTATGTCTACCATGAATATATAGGACCGGTATGGACGAAAATTGGAATTTCGATTCGGGATCGAAAAATTACGAAAATGCCCCTAGGCCATTTTTATTTAATTCCGAAAATTGGATTAATTTTTTTGGCATTAACCAAGGTTAGTTAGGCTTAACTCAGGTCTGGTCAACCATGGTTAAGGACAAATGACCATTTCACCCTTGGATTAATGGATTAGATCAAATCTTAGCCCTTGGATCAAGGGCAAAATTGTCCATTGGCCAAGATTTTGACACTTGGATTCCATTAAGTTATATTTGACTCATTTGACCAGAATTTCCTCTCTCATTCATGTGTTCCTGATCTGCCGAGACCAATTCCCCTCTTCCTCTTCTTCTTCAGCGTTTTCTCTCTACCGTGGACACATTTCTGCTGGGTCTGGTACTGTTCATTGAGTACCGAATTTGTGCATTTTTGTCTAAGAGTTTCACTAATTGGGTTTATTTGTTAATGACTTAGAAATGGACATTTTAGGGGCTAATTAGGCTTATTGGAGACTTAATTAAGTATATTTAGTGTTTGGGTGATTAGGGTTTGAGACTAGAGCCTAATGAGCCTAATAAGCCTAATAAGAGTTTCACTAATTGGGTTTATTTGTTAATGACTTAGAAATGGACATTTTAGGGGCTAATTAGGCTTATTGGAGACTTAATTAAGTATATTTAGTGTTTGGGTGATTAGGGTTTGAGACTAGAGCCTAATGAGGGTGTTTAATGGTGGTTTAGTGGACAAAATGTACCCTGCCCTGGTACTGTTCATGGGGCACCGAATTTGTGTAAATTTGTCTAAGAGTGGCACTAGTTGGATTCATTGGTAAGTGACCTTGATTGGGGCATTGTAGGGATTAATTAAGCTTATTTGAGGCTTAATTATGTATAATTGGTGGTTGAATTATTAGGGTATGTGATTAAGGTTTAATGGAATTGTTTAAGTGTGATATAGTGCATGTTGGACATTCGGTTCTGGTACTGTTCACCAGAACCGAATTGCACATTTTGGACTTAATTTGAGACTTGATTGGTTCATTGGATATCGGTTTGAGTCTTGGGTATTATTCGGGTTTGGTTGGGATCTAAATAAACCCTATTGAATGACCCCGAGATAGTGAGAACAATTATCGAGATCGATTTGCCCAAGGCGGGCCTTAGGCGCATTAAATTGACTTGTGTAATGAATGCGCGGAATGAACTTGAAATGGGTTGGATTAGAATGGAAATGTTTGGGAATGCCGGGAATGAGTGGCACATGTCTAACTTGAACATAGTTATGCTTGGTAAATTTAACATCAGTATTTGGCTTGAATTCCCGAGCATATGTTTTGCACAGCAAGTGGTGATTGGTGGAAATTGAGTGTGATGATATCCATGTCTGAGTTATATTCAAATGTTGGCCTACGGGTCGTTGTAATCACTTGTGACCTTCGGGTCGGGCCTACGGGTCGTTATAATCACTTGTGACCTTCGGGTCGGGCCTACGGGTCGATTTATCAAACTGTTGGCCTTCGGGTCGGGCCTACGGGTCGTTATCTCCAACTGTGGGCCTTCGGGTCGGTATAACTGCACGTGATTTGCGTTAATGTCAAATGCCTAACTGCAGAGGCTACGAGACAATGTATTGGGTGTGAGCACTGGGTGAAATTATGTTGATGTGCTTGGTTCATTATTTGTGTGTTTTATTTACCTTTCGGAGGTGCACATTAGCCTAGTTTAGGATTAGTGGTTTGTACTTGCTGAGATTTCTCACGGTTGTGGTAAAACCGACATTTCAGAGCCCCCGCCTGAGCCATGATCATATTGAGGCAGACTCGGAGCCGTCAGGTGAATAGACAATTGAGGAGGATTCATGTGGTGATGCTGAGGACAGTGAGTCAGTGTTGACGTCTCCGAGAGGGCGTAGGGACTAGTTCTGGGAGCGAGATAATAAATTGAGAGGGCCCCACTGTTGGACAATGCTGATCCTTTTTGTATTTTGGAAGTTAATAATTACTGGTTCGGTGTGCTTGTAATAATAATGGATGTTGTATATAAGTGATATAATGAATGTATATATAGTTTTAATCGTATGTAAAATTGTGACTCTCGCTATTCATGGTTGCTTTTATATTGTCTGGGTGTATATATATATATTATATATACGTCGTTTCCGCATGTGGCGTGTTTTCTCTGATTTGGGTTTTCAGGTCGGTGACGTAACCTGGGAGCGTCGCATCTTATTTCGACCTATGCGGATGTTCATGTTTCGTGGGGTACGGGGCGTGACATCATTTGTGACATGGAATGTAATAAGTACCAATAGTCTGGGACACAGTGCTAGAAAACTCAGTGGTGTAACTGTCTGAAAGTGGTGATAGAAGTTCTTAACTTTGGTCTTCCTTTTTTGAGCTTGTTTGCGTAGTTGTGCACCGAGACAGTTCCACGTACTTCATGTTGTTTTGGTACATAAGGAGTAGACATCAGGAGTAGACATTGGCTTTTTGCCGAACATTGTAATTGTGAGAAGATTTTAGTTTCAGAGATGTCAGATATTTGGCTAGGTGTTTTGGAAAGAAAGTCTTTTTCCATGTTCTATGACATGCTTCTGATATTATTTCCTCTCACAATTGGCCAGGTTGGCAGCAGATTTGGAGAGAACACATTGAAACTGGGATCCATCCTGACTAATGGTCAAGTGGGCATATTCAAGGACAGTTCAGCTGCCGCCTTATCGAAATTCAGTGATGTTTTTCCTGTGCAGGCCGCGGGTCTTCTTTCATCCTTCACCACAACTCGACCAGATGCTTGAATGAGAATGCCTTGCCATATGCCAATTGATATTTACATCGGAAGCCACGACAGGTAAAACATGAGGCTTTTTCACACTTTGGCTTCCGGCTTTTTTAAGTTTCACCTGAGATTCTGGGGTAATCCTGGATTAGTGGTGCGGCCCAAAAGCTGTATTTATAGGATAATCGAATGAAAAAGAGAATACCTTTTGGATTGAGTGGGAGAGGGGCAAGAGCTGGTGTTGGTGAAGCGAGATCAAGAAAGGCTTCATATTTGTTGTGGTGTGTCTGTAGGAATAAGTGAGCTGGTTCAGCATTTTTTATTGCATACCTTTATTAGGCGCAGACATTTGCAAAGCAGAAAATGGATGTTATACTATCATAGGAGATGGCGGCAACAGTGTCGAGGGAAGTTCGTTTTGTAAAATGGAGACTTCCAAGTGAGGCATATGCTTTGGACAGAAAGCTATGAGACGCCCCATCAATCATGTGCAGATCACTTGTTCTTATCATTCAAATTTTGTATCTCATGCATTATTTCAATTCCGTAGACAAGATCGAGTTACAGCAATGTATAATTTTGGCTTCCTGGATGGCTGGATCTTTTTCCTTACTACCTTGTGCTCTTTTTTTCTTTTTGTGTAGCTTAATGCATTTTCACTACATTGTAATAGCTTTGAATGTAACGTCTTTTGAATTCAACCTAAGCCATCCATTGCTGTAAATTCAGTCCACTGGACTTCCCATTAAATCCTCTCTCTCTCTCTCTCCCCTAAGGCATGGTTCGGCCGAAGATGCGGGATTAGGATGCGGCTGTTTGACGAGTCTTCCTTTGTCAGCTCTCAGGGTGCATTTGGTTCAACATTTTGAAAGCCCTTTGGAAATACAAAGGCCTTTGGTCTAGAGGGTTTTAGGGAAATGCAAATTGCGTTTGGTAAAAAATCCTTGTAAAGCAATTTTGAGTTAAGTAGTGTTTGGTAATTAAATGTTGCAAAGGGCTTCGGTTGCAAATTTTCTTTTTTTTATATTAAAAAAAATCAAATCCTTCGGTTGCCGTCGAGCCAAATCTGGCGCTAACGGCTATCAACTGAGGTCACACGACCTCGAGCGACCCCCGATGAGGGCTAGTTGGGGTCATGCAAACCCTAGCAATGGTTGTGCGACCCAAGCGAGGGCTACTTGAGGTCTCACGACCTTAGGTGGACATCGCTTGGGTCACGAGACCCCAGTCGACGATGAGGTCCCTCGCCTCTGGCTGGTCGCCAAGGTCCAGTGACCAGCTAGAGGAAGAAGCGAAAGAAAAAAAAGAGAGAGAAAGAAAAGAAAAAAAGGAAAAAATAAAAAAATATATATTCAAAAAAATCACATCAATGCCAGTCAAATTTGGACGGACCTGTGACAAAAGGCATTGGCATCAAAATGGACATAGTTGAAGATTTTCCGTGCTATTTCCTCTATTTGATAAACTTACAGGTGCCGGACACTAATTCCTCGACAAAACCCATTTTGCAATTTGTACATTGAAGCCTGTCAAGCTTTTCTTTGGGTTGTCCTTAAGGGTTCAAGGAACGATTTTCACGAGTACATAATTTAGTTATTATAGATCATGCGCGGGTGAATAGACGTTGAAAACACGTTAATTTGAATGGTCGAGTTCCCTTCCGATTCGTTTTAATGCAAGATAGACTACACGTATAGACCTTACGTGGGCTGATGAAGTCCAGAAAGTAGACATTAATTGGATAAAGTCATCCTTGAATATGCATTGCTGCGAATCAACAACTTAAGAGGACTTCCCGTCAGGAGCCATATCTGTGATGGCGTGCACGAAGCGTCCGGAGCTGAAAAGCGACTAGATCCGTAGAAGTGCCCGAAATCTGTGCACCACGGCTTCCCGTCACCTGATGCGAACGCGTCTGGAAAATGTTTTCGTTCCTACCCGGTTGATCAATCCAGCAAAATAACGGTCGGCAATGGCAACATTTCGGGCCCGTGAATTGATTTTACGATGAACACGGTAAAGTTAACCGTGGCGATAATCCAGTAAGTTGATTTGAATTTGCAATTGTTTGATAAGTTCCACCTATTTGCAACGAGACTTTTTTTTTTTGTTGCTTTTGGTCTAAGCAATAGGACTTTTAAGTCGTTTATTTTTCTCAATGTTTTAATTGTTTTCCATTTGGGCGAAAAAAAAGTCATGCTAACCTTGGTGCCGATTCGAATAATTCAGGAGCATATTTCTTTCTGTTCAAATGGTAAATTGAGGATCAATTATCACATTGCTTTTTTACCAAATTCACGTTTCAACAACTAATCCAGCACCACGTTCGCATCAATGTGATGTCCCATGAGTCTGGGCGTTATTTGACAAGGCTATAATATAGTTATGAAGTCCGGCCCGGCCCATTTTCTCCGGACGCTTCTGTGCCGAGCTTTCTAGCAATGGGAGACCGACGAAGAAGGGTCGCCGGCGCGTGCTTCCGTTTCAGCTTCAAGGTCGATTCGATTGTCTTCCGATTTGGTTTGGTGAGGCTGTTGCTCGATTTCTTCCGATCGGCGTTAAGTGAAGATGGCGTGAGTTGAGTGGAATCCAGAGAAGGATTTGCTGGCCATGGTCCCACGGAGGACTCGGAGGTGGGTGGTGCTTCGTCGCTTCAATTGGCAAGAGGCTGTGGACAATCTCTCTCCTGGTAATTGCTTCGATTCGAGAAAGTTCTCTTTCTTTCTTTGTTCAGTGTGTTCGTTTGTTCAACGATGGCTTGTTGTGCCCTGCGAGTCATTGCCCTTATCTCGTTCTACTTCTTTCGCTTTTCCTAAATGTGCCGTGCTTCCTTTTTCGCCATAGGAACCATTGTAATTCCCAATCTAGCTCTAATTGCATTCGATGGAGAATTGGACGAATATAGAGGTCTAAAGTGCTTGGAAGTCTAAATGATAAGGTGAACGTCGAACTAAGGAGTTTGGTCGTTCTACCCAGAAACGAAGGGTGAATGATGGTGGTGCGAGTGGAAAATCTAGAGAACGAAGGAGTTGTTACCCTTTTCGGTACACCAGTTAATGTGTACATGAAAATAAAGAACATGAATTGGAGGGGATGTCATTTATGCTAGAAAGATTAGATATGTCAGATGCAGAAATGCTTAATGCCCCACTTGGAGTTGGCAGGTTTAGCCCCTGCAGAAGACCATCTAAATGTCATGAGGCATCTAAAAAGATCTGCTTAGATTTATGATGGTGACTCTCCCGATGTAATTTTACTTGCTTGGCTCCTCTTCTTTTCGATTGAGCATTCTTTTACTGACTGTGCGTGCCCTACACGGAGAGATTTAGTGGATACTGAAATATAGACTATAGGTAGAAATTTTCTCACATTTTGTATTGCTTGAAGTTTAGTTAATCTTCTTCGCATTGCAGAGGGGCATTTCGCCACATCATTTTGATTAATCAAGGTCGCTGGTGGGAGGTTAACTTTTGAATAGGATATATCTCGAGCTGTACTGCATACTTGTATGACAATCTGGTTGAGAGGGAAGGAGGAAGGAATTGGAGAAAGCAAAGGGACTAGGAGGGTAAGGGGAGCTGCATCCAAGTATGTTAAGATCCTATATGGCTTAATCTTTCGGTAATTCAAATTAGTAAGATCTTAGGATTAGATGCCCAGCCTTGGTAATTATTGCCGTCTATTCTCACTGGAAAACTTTAGAGAGGAGATTTTTTTCTCTAGAAACACCTGAATGCTTTGTTCGTCATATTGTCTTCTGGATATGGAGAACGTTTTGAGTGCACTATAGTACTTGAGCCAATCCTGAATGATTTCTGTTAAGATCTTAAGTTACACTTGTAATCTTCGCCTGAAGTAAGCTTTTGTCACGCCCCGCACTCGGCGCGCGAGCATCCCTCGCAAAGGTCGATTTGAGTGCGACTCCCCAGGACGCGTCGCTGACCCAACTCCCAACACAGAGACTTAAAGCACATGCGGAAGCAAATCAACACCCGTTCAAAGATAGACACACAACCAAGGGTAGCCACTCAACAAACAACATGAACAATTACACTTGCATTGATACTGATGCACCCAACCAAGGATAGCCATACAATAACCAGCACGGATAATTATACACTTGCTTTGACATCGGGAAACATATACAATATTCATATATAGCCCACAATCAAAAATCGAAAGCGGGTAAGTGGCTCGGCGATCAAGCACCATATCTAGCCGGGACTCCTCCCAAAACGTTTCAGTACACCTGGCATCCTCAAAGTTGGGGGTCTGAAAAAATTGGGTTTCAACAACAGTGAGAATAAATCTCAGCGAGTAATTCCCTAAACCTAAATTAGGCTAAAGTGCACCTCCTGACGAGTACTAAATCAACACACCAAGCAAATCATAATTGACTTAGGCCCTCGGGCCCAAATCCAACACTCACCTTGCCCTGTAGGTTAGGCACTTACAGTTCAAGCATAAAACATAGGACCCAATCGCAGCACACGTACACATCATTTGGTCACAACGCATGTCATGCTTATGCTCGTGCTCATACGCGTGCTCACGCCTCATCAATGCATTTTCGCACGCTTGCACTCCAGCACACTTGCAATTATCAATTCTCCTCCGACCCGCGTAAAACGCACCAGGTCCGACCCGCGTAAAACGCATCAGGTCTATCACATACAACACTTCCTGGCCCGCGTAAAACGCATCAAGCCCAGTGTCTCTAGCCCGCGTAAAACGCATCAGGCGCAACACCGATCTCCTTATATGGACCAAAACCCGCGTAAAACGCCTCAGGTTGGTCATCTTCCGGTAAACCGGGCATCGTCCCGCGTAACACGCCTCAGGACGGGTTCACTACCCCGCGTAAAACGCATCAGGGTTTATTGTGATCACACATTCACAAGCACCAATTTTCATCTGAACCCCGCGTTAAACGCATCAGGGCATTTTAGGTGATCACACACTCATGTCATTCGTGCACACTCATATATGCACATGCCATGCCAATGTTTGATATGCACACCCATGGCCATGAAATTCACACTTGGGCACTCACAAATTTCACAATGAGCATTCAATTGCACAACGCCACTTATTCAATTCACAACACAATATGCTCAATTCCATGAATCACAAGCCCAATCAATCAATTAATTCAAATCGGCCATGGTACATCATCGGCACACGAAAATCACGCGATTGAGCCATTAAACTCGCACAAGTCTAAGGCCCACCAAGTCTACCCTTTCTCGGCCATATAAGTACTCAACAAGGCATCGCAAATTGATCACAAGCAAAGACAATTCAGCCAATCCATCAGTTAATTCGACCATTCCCGGTAATCACACAATCAAGCCTCAAATTGATCGCGCCTTGTCCAATTAAATCCCGGTATGGACAGCCACCAAGCAGGTCATTCTAGGCCAATAAATACCCTCAAAATACTCTATTAGACTCCCCAAAGCATCACCCGAATCAGCCACCATGAGGACCAAACTAGGCGCGCACTATAATCCACAATTGAACCCGAACTTAACCGAACTCGGGCCAATTCAATCCAATACTTCCAGCCATCGCATAGCACATTACGGGCCACTAATCCTCAATTAAATTGTCACACTAAGCCCGTAAAATAGCCACAAAATCAGCCACTATACGGTCCACAAATTTCATCCGCCAAGTCCACAATTTCGCCCAAATCAAGGCATCTATGCTTCGCCACATCACAGCACTCTATAGACCACTAAACCTCAATTAAATCATCACTCTCGGTCACCAAATGCGCCACAAATTCAGCCCCTAGTAACCTCCACTCGGTCCTCAATTTGCACCCGCCAAATTCACATTCAAGGCCCGAACCTACCCCGAACTTGGGCCATTCCGATCCAATTCTGTCTAGCCAATGCACAGCACCTCTCAGGCCACTAAACCTCCCTTAATTTATCGCATTAAGCCCGTAGAACAGCCACCAAAACAGCCACCACCCGGTCTATCAATTTCATCCACTAAGTTCGCCATTTTGTCTAAATCTCGGCACCCATGCTTCGCCACATCACAGCACTATACGGGCCACTAAACCTCGACTAAATAATCATCCTTGGTCACCAAAAACACCACAGAACCAGCCCATATCACCCTCCACCATTTAGCCCCTAATTACCCTAATTAACCCCTAAAACCCGTCTAGAAATGCAAATTGTCCTAATTAGGGCTTAGGGTCAAACTCACCGAATGTCCTAAGCTTGAAACGGCCGAACACGCGATGAAAAGGGGCTGGGCAGCGGCGGTCCCTCGCCGGAACAGTAACGGCGGCGGCGGCTCCGGCGAACGGCGCGAGCGGCGGCGACGGTCTAAGCTAATCCACGGCCTAGAGAGGGAGAGAGGGGCACGGTCAGAGATAGAGAGAGAAATGGAACGGCTGGACGGCTGGGCGAGGCGATGAATCCACGCCGGAACAGTGACGGCGGCGGCGGAGCTCCTCCAGCTCAAGGCCTCTCACGGCCAAACAGAGAGAGAGAGAGAGAGAGAGAGAGAGAGAGAGAGAGAGAAATGGAGAAAAGGGGGCTTGCCGGCTGCTTGGGGTGGGACACGGCGGCGACCGGCAGCACCGGAGGCGGCGACGGCGACGCGGGGCCAGCCGGCGAGCTGCGGGCGCGTCGCGAGCTCGCTGGCCGGGGCAACGGCCACAACGGCTCGGCTGGGCTGAGCGTCAGTGACCCGCGGCAGCGGCGGCGAGCTGGCCGGCGACGGCGCGGCACGCGGCGTCGGGCGGAGGCATGAGGGCGGTCGAGCGGTGGTCGGTGAGCTGGGCAGAGGCGAAGCAGCAGTCGAGGGTCGGGGGAGAGAGGAAGAAGAAGAAGAAGAAGAAGAAGAAAGAGGAAGAAGAGAGAGAGGAGAGAGAGTGTCAGAGGGGGGGGGTTGCGTGCGGTCAGAAGGAAAAGAAGAGAAAGGAGAGAGAGGAACGTGCGCGGTCAGAAGGAGGGAAACGTGTGCGCGGAGGAGAGAGGAGAGAGAAATAAGAGAAAATAAACTTCATTCAAATATTAAATGCGATCTGATGGCCCAAATTCAAAACCGAAAACGATCTACTGGTCTAAAATAAGCCTCGCACATAAAAAGGGACAAAGGCCAAATTAATTGAACCAAACTATAATGAGGGAGGTCTACTAGTCCAAATTCACACTTGGTCAAAAACTCTCCTTTTTCCATTATTCCTGACAATCTCAACGTTGGCTACCATAATATTGACACTGTCCAAATTATTTCGTCCCGAAACTCCCGAAAATCGACTACCAAGTCCGGGGTCTAAATAACGGCCAAATTTGATCGAGTGCGATTCTAGCGAAATCTCTAATTTAAAATGATAACCAGGAGTGATCAGTTCCCGGGCGAGATTTTACTATAAGCACACTGACAAATTACGCGTTTTATAAATCCCAAAAATAGGCCGAAATTCGGGATGTCACAGCTTTTGTGCATCCACTCTACCTTGAAGTTCCTTAGTTGAACAACAAGATCTGTTTTTTGAATCAGATATTGGATTGGAGCCTGCCAATAAGATATAGATTCCCACGCTTTAGATTACCTACTAACCCAAAGAAATCCCATATCAAGTGACCGTTATCCTTCTCAATTATTTTGTACAGTTACGACGTTTTGCCTTACTTCACATATTTTGATTAACATTTTGTCTGTTAATGTGTGTGCTCTATCTTTCCTCTTCTTCTGTTAATTTTATTGGGAACAAATTATTCACTCTATGTGTGTGTGTTCTTTTTTGTTTATAATGAGCTTACTTTCTTTGCACACATCAATACTGGCTCTTCTTAATCATTCTAATCTACTCCAGTGTAACATCATTATGCTGGCGTCTTGATGGCAAGGTTGTTGTCTTGGGACTTGAAGACGGTACAGTTTTACTGCATGATTTCGAAGTAAGTTTTCTATGTTGTTACTTGAACGTTGCCCTCATTACTTCTCAACTAGAAATTCCTACTGGAACAGTCCTTTTTTCATCACAACGTGTTCTTCTCTGATCTCTCTTGGGAAAGATTCTGAATTACTCAAAATCTGCATGATGCAATGCAAACAGCAAACTTGCTCAGTGAACATTTAGCTGCTAATAGAGATGGCATTCCATTTTTATTGGTCACGTCTGTCAATGTCAAGTTAACAATGGATTGCTAGATAGGTTAATCTGAGCAGGATAAGATTAACAAAAAAATTTATTAGAAAACTCTATTCAAACATGACCCTTTTGTTAAATAGGTCAACAAATTACAAAAGATGAATAACCCGTTTAACTAATTAGATTGAATTGAATGGGTCATTCCAACCCTAACATGACCGACACAGCATCTGTACAATATGCATATCGTCATCAATGTCAAATAATTTGAAAAGAAACTAGTCGCAAGCTTACAAAATCCTAGGTTTACATGAAATGTTACATTTATATGGTGTGATCAAATTGTAATTTGTAACCACTATGGAAACAAAATTCATGTATGATTTACTATTAGAGAATTTACTTAACTAAATATAAACAGGTCATGATAGTTCAGGTTGTTAATCAAGTTGGCACTATTGTTTAGTTAGATAGATTACAGGAGTCAATTTGTGTTTTGCGGTTTGAACTTTGAACCCGGAACAATATTCGTTTATTAATTGTGTTTACTATTAAGTAGGTAGCCACAATTTTGATATGACATGATAACCACTTAGGGTCACCCTTAGTTGTCACATGGAAATATGAGTCATGAATCAAAAAATTAAATCTATGGATTGTGGATCGTGAATTTCATCCATTGGAATCATAAAATCTGATATAATGTTTGAGATTGGTATACCATAACAGATGTAAATTAATTGTAAAGTATGGTCTTATTTTTATTGTTAGGTAATAAATAATTATAAAGATACTTCAAATTCGACTAATGTTATTATTTCCAGACATGAGATATTGCTACAAATTATTTTTCTTTTATCAAATAAGTACCCATTTGACTGTAAGGACACAAAGATCGTGTACTAAGTATTGTAATTGGATTCCCATTCATAGAATTTAGTATTAGACAATTAGATCATCCACTAAGGCTGATGCAGCCAACAAAATCATGCAAGATGACTACCAAGTTTTTGGTGAAGATTGACTTTGAAACTCAAACAAGGATCAGGATTCTTCTCGAAGTTTAATCACTAAAATTTAAAACCCAGGATTTGAGTATTGTTAGGGTTATACGAAGTTTCCCTAATTTTTTTTTTTTTTGAAGTTTGAGTAGTAGGATCTTACATATACTCCAATTTTATTTCTTGTTTATAGGTTTCCTATTTCAACTAGGAGTAGAACTTCTAGAGAATCTAATAATATAGTTGTAATTTTTACTTTTCAATAGAGTTGATAATTTATTGAACTAGGCAAGTGTTTGCTTTGCATATTGTGTGATGCAATTCCTCTTTGGTGCGATGCTTAAGAAACCCTAGGTGTGATGTTTAGGCAGTTTTGCATGTGATGCCTAAATAAATATTCTTTATTGTGGGACTCATTGTCCTGCATCAAAGCCATGAAATGTTTTGGACACTACATTGTTTGATGCATAAGTTCAATTATGAATCAAGGAAATTGATTGACTCATATCTAATCGGTGAAATCAGCAGTGAATTACTTTAATCACATATCATACAAAATTAATACACTCATTCAATAGATTTTATATACTTTAGGAGTTATCTGATTGATGTGTGCAATTGCATTCTCATGTAGGACAAATAATTTTCACCTCGCTTCTAATGTTGTCATCAATGATTAAAACTATTTCAATTGTCAACGACAAATTACGGCATAGTGTTTTCTGGGGTCCAGCTCATTGTGAGAGTCTATGGTCTAAGTGGATGGTGTCATATAGAAGCATTCATCTGTGACATGCTCATTTTCATCAAAATTAATAGCTTCTGTCAATTATCAGTAAAATATGTTCAGTTTAGTCAAATTAGGAAGGTAATTATTTAGGTGACTCTTAAATGATATGATTTGTAGCTGCCTCAATTATTCTTGTGGGTGGAAAAGTTTGTAAATAACTGGTTATGTTTTTATTAAGCTATAGTTGCTTGGTCATGAGTAGAATGGCTGAGAACTTGGCTGAGGCTGCTGCAATTCTGTTTCTTTGAGATTTCTACCAGTTTATAATCAATCGTCCACTTCATGGATTATATTTTGCTGAGAAGAGAGTTTGTTTGTACATAATGAATGTTATCTTACCCAAGTAGCTGTCTTTATGGAACTATGGATATGCGGTGTGCTGCTTTTGATATGCTAGTGCTTGCAGCTGTTATGCACACTGTGGTATAATCATTCTAACAGGGTATAAATATTAAGCAGAATGGAAAACTGTTAAGAAGCTTGAAGTCCCATATGGCAGCTGTGGTGTCTCAACTGGGAGGAGGATGCCTAACTGAATAGAGTATGCATCTTTCAACTTAAAATTTGATATGACTTCGTGATCTTTATTACCAATAGCAGATATTTTATGGCTCACGCCTTTCATAATGCTTCTTTTCCAGTTAAGTAGTTATTTTAGTCTAGTTTTCTTAAATACTTCTTTTCAAACTTGGAATCTTATATCACAGTCCAACAGCTTTAGTATGGGTTTATGGAAGATTTTTGGAAAGCGTTTGTTTGGTGTCATCTGTAACTTGTTGATTTGTTTGGCTCCTTAGCTTTAATCTCATATTTTTTCATCTTTTTATTTTCCAACTGGAAAGTAATTATTCATTTGTTTTATAGACCGCTTCTGGTAACTTTTTGGCTTTTGAAGATCGCACTACTCGATTCTTCCCTCCAGCTCCAAAAGTTCCTCGCATGCCTGGACTAGTACCCGGAGATGCTGGTTTAACGGACGATGGTCAAGATTCATTTGTAGAGCTCTCAAATTCTTCAAAGTAATGTTTCAATATCCTTTGCAGTGGAGATAAATATGGGATTTTGTGCTTCAGTATATTTGGTGTCTTTCTAATCAGAAATATTGTAAGCGTCCTGTCTGTTCAAATCAAATATTTGGCAGTATGGTCTATCAGATTGAGTCGATGAGTCATTTCCTTGTTCTTGCTTCTCATTCAGCAGTTTTTCTTAATAAATGGATTTGATGGCGTGAGCGGCAAGAATCGGTATTGCCCAGAAGTAATGGGCTGGTTAAGTAAACAATTATACTAGGTGATGTTATGCTTGTAAAAGTTCTAGACGTTTCTGCCAATTCCCAGGCTAGATTTCACTTCTGTTGGTTACTTCCGAGATGACACCCTTCCAATTTCGATATAGAACAATTATCTTAAGCTTTCTGTTGTTTGGCCTGAGGTTAGCCAGACCTTACATACTTTCTGCTCTACTCCATACTATTGGGTTTCTGCTCTGTTCTAGGAAGATTGAGAGAGCTTATGAAGATCTTCCCCTTTCCAGCAAGTTTAGTCAAACTTTCGTGCAATATGATATCGTAAAAGCAAGTGTGAAAAAATGTACAAAGTAAATGCAAACTTAAAGAAAATATTACAGAGCTAAATAGCACGCATATAATGAATTATCAATACTATAAATTTAAAAACGTAAAGTCATGGCATCGCCTTTTGGTGACCAAACAATTTTGTGTTGAATTCGATAAGATGGTGTATTTTGTTATCAGATGTCAACTTATTGTGTCGAACTAATTATTGACAATTGTATATATCGATAGGTTGAATATGTTAGTATCGCAACAGTTAACGTGGTAAATATACCTAGTACTCTCATAGTGGTAGATATGTATAGGCTGATATATTACATTCATGTTTGATGCCTTTTAGGGTAGATGCATTTAAGGCAAGATACTCTTAACTTACGAGCTAAAGTTGATTTGCTTTAGAGAATAATGCAGTTAAGCTCTCGAATTTAAAGTGATAAATTACCACTCAAAGTATTGTAATTTAATACTATACAAAAGAGTGCTCGTGAAGCACTCCTGTTTTTTTTTACAATCCACAATTTCAAGTATTGACATTTTAGTTTGGATTGTTGGTATATAAATAGCATTGATAATTCTTTTAGCTTGCAATGTTACAAGTGGATATAAGAATAAGCTTCTTACTATTGTAAAATGAAGTAATTGATACATTGAATTTTTAACATTTTACTCAATTCTTAATACAAATATTTTTACTGGAGTTGAATCAATGTCTAAAGAGCTTTGTTTTATTGAGTAACTAAATAAAAAAATGCATTAAATGGTATCTAAATGGATGGACTCCCTATGGAACATACAAATTGCTTCACATCTTGCACCAACCAAGTTGGATAACAATATTAAGGGACAAGTGCACTACAAGTCCTAAAACTTGTCACAAAAATGCGTTTGAGTACTAAAACTTACAAAAAGTTCATTTGAGTCCTAAAACTTGTCAAAATGGTTCATTTGAGTCCTAAAGTTGACACCGTTAGATTTACTAACGGAAAATGCTGACGTGGCGCTAACGTGTCATTTTTAATTATTTTTCTTGAGACACGTGGCGCCACGTCAGCAAAAATAAAAATAAAAATAGAAAAAGCTGAAAAAAAACAAAAAAAAACCAAAAAAAGGAAAAAAAAAAGAACCGGCGGTGGCCAGGCCCGGCGGCCGGGAAGGACCGGCGGAGGTCGCCTGGGCCTTCCCGAAGCCCGGCGACCTCCGCCGGGGCCGGCGGAGGTCGCCGGGCTTCGGGAAGGCCCAGGCGACCTCCGCCGGTCCTTCCCGGCCGCCGGGCTTGGCCACCGCCGGTTCTTTTTTTTTTTTTTTTTCCTTTTTTTGGTTTTTTTTTCAGCTTTTTCTATTTTTATTTTTATTTTTGCTAACGTGGCTCCACGTGTCTCAAGAAAAATAATTAAAAATGACACGTCAGCGCCACGTCAGCATTTTCCGTTGGTAAATCTAATGGTATTAACTTTAGGACTCAAATGAATCATTTTGACAAGTTTTAGGACTCAAATGAACTTTTTGTAAGTTTTAGGACTCAAACGCACTTTTGTGACAAGTTTTAGGACTTGTAGTGCACTTATCCCCAATATTAATATGTAACAGCCTGAATTTCGACGAAATTCCGGGATCAATAAAATTGACAATATTTCGCATTTCATTTTAGTAAGTCTCACCCAGAGCTGATCACTGTAGGGATACTAACTAATGGGATATGACTAACTAGGAAAATGGTACGTGGACCATGGACCCAATCGTGAATTGGGCACCGATCTCGAGAAATGACGAGAGAATATTATGAACCAGTATGGACCGATCTTAGGAAAGGTAACAGATCTAGTTTGGCCAAGGCCAACGATGTACCATAGGATTGCAGGTGATTCTGCAAGACCGAAAGTACACGTGGCCAACCAGTCTTGAACTTGAACCGAGCGATCGTGACCTTTGGAACTAGTAATAATTTCTCATTCTCTCAATGATCGAGACCATTACGATATGGATAGCCCTAGGTCGATACACGTAACTCCTAAACAGCTGCCCGTTAGTGAGAGACCCTGAAATTGAAAGTTTAGCGAGTTTTGTTCACGGAATTGGGCCCGGATTTCGAGGTCGATTTTCGAAGGCTTAAGAGATTATTTTTGGGAATCTGATGTCATATTACGCTGGCCACACACGTTTGGGTTTAGTACAAGTGAAAATTGGAATTTCGGTCCAGGGGTGAGAAATTACGGTTTTGCCCCTATGGGCACCGAGGCCGGATTCGGAGGCCGTTTGAGGTTATTTTTCGAGGCCGACACCATTTTTGGGTGGCCACGCATACCGGGAGTCGTTATGGATAAAAATTGGAATTTCGACAAAAATTGGAAAAATAATATTATTTTATTCCCGGAACTTTGCAGTCGATTTTCGAGGGCTTAAAAAGTGAATTTCGCGATTCCGACGCCATATTAGGTTGACCACGAATATATGGAACGCGTATGTGCGAAAATTGGAATTTCGCCCCTGGACCGGAAAAATGACGATTTTGGCCCTGGGCTATTTTTGGTCCGAATTTTTTTTGGGAAAATTTTAGGATAATTAACAGAGGTTATCAGCTGCATTATTAGCCCTATTGACCATTTTAACCCTCACTTTTTGGATAAGATCGAATTAAAACCGTTAGATTAGGGGTATTTTCGTCAAAATCGCCGGATTTGCGACACGTGTCGCCCTAGGCTGTCCCTTTTTGACCCAATCTGACTTTTCTCTCTCTCCTCACTTCTCCCCCACGCCAGACCAGCAGACCAGCAGCTTCTTCCCTTTGTTTTCCCTCTTTTCCTCTCTTGTTTTGCCTCGCCGGAGCTTGTCGCCGGCCACCGGAGTGCCGCCGCCGGCCACCGTGCCTCGCCGTCGACCACCTCAGCCCCTTCAGCCTCAGCCTTGCCCTGGCTGACCCTTTCTCTCTCCCTTTCCCTCTCTTTTTCTCTCTTTTTCTCTCCCGGGTTTACACCGCCGCCGCTTCGGAGCCTCGCCGGAGCTTCGCCGGAGCTTCGCCGGAGCTCCGATCGCCGAACCGTCGCCACCCAGACGTCCGGCCACGCTGTACGATGCCGACCGTACCCGTCCGTACATCGACAGTACGGACGACTGTAGCAGTCCGTACGGTCGCGTCCGTACGGCCGCCGCGGCCGTCACCGGCACCTCGCCGGCCACCATCCCAGCCTGTCCGTACAGTGTCCGTACGGGGGGGAGGGGGATACTGTTCACCGCTTCCGTACGGGCTGTTCACGCCGGTCCGTACGCCGTTCGCCGGGAATTCCGCCACCGGTTTGACTGTTCACCAGTGATCGGCCGCCGTTCCCCGTCACTGTGGTCCGGAAATTAAGTGAGTAAAATTCCTAAACCCGGATTAGGACTGATAGTGCGTTATTCCTGGACTGGTTTAGGTATTATCGGTGCATTTTGGACTGGCTTAGATAATAGCAGTATGTATTTCAGACTGGGTTGAGGACTGATTGGTAGAAATTATTATCGGAAAAATTTAGTGGATTAATGAGAATCATTGGGGAGGATAATGGGGTTTAATGATCAATTTAGGAGCTCGTTGGTGAAATTGCCGGGTATACCCGAGTTGACTGATTGTACGTCAATTGTGCTTAATTGTGGTTGATTTCGTGTTGAAAATATGTCTCGAGTTTAAGCCCAAAGCGAAAATCTGAATATTCGGAATTGGTAATTTGCGGACGTCCAAAATCGAGCAAAAGGAAATATTGGAAATTTGCTTTCCTAATATGCAAGAGTTGGCAGCAAACAAAAGAAAAGGAAAGTAGAATGAATATTTATTCTTTCCTAATTTTAGTGGGAGTCACGGTCTGCCAAAGAAAGAAGAAATAGGAAAGTCCAAACTTGGACTTGTTGACCGCATGGAATCTCTTTCCAAGTTGGTGTCGGCCACTGTACGTGGGCATACAAATATATACATATATATTCTTGAACTTGGCCGCAAGAAGAAGAAGTCTTGATGCGCCATTGTTGATAAAGAAGTCTTGAAGCGCCGCGGTTGACGTGAAGACGTTCGTGAGTGCTTGGCGGTGCGTGTTTCCGTGGATTCTCGTTCGTGAATTACATCCAAGAAGAATTAGTGTTCAAGCGTAAATCTTGTGTTAAGATTTGTGTATAATTCTTTTGCGAGATTGAGAGATTATTTCGTGAGGAATTGTGGGGCTAAACACTGCGTGAGTTATTGGATGTAATTGGGGCTTGGGAAACACTGAGAGTGTTTGAGTGACTCGAGTGTGGTTGTAATCTCCGTTATATCGCTTGATCTATAGTGAAATTCCGTGCTGCTCTCCCCGTGGACGTAGGTCACTACGACCGAACCACGTAAATCTGGTGTCTGATTTATTTTCTTATTCTGTCAAATTTATTGTTCGATCACTTGGCTTCCGCAACAATTGGTATCAGAGCCTGGCTTGGCTAAGTTGAAGCGAATCGATGGCGATAGAAGAAGGAAAAGTGAGAATCGACAGATTTGATGGGAAAGATTTTGGTTTCTGGAAGATGCGGATTGAGGATCATCTATATCAGATGAAACTGCACTTGCCCCTGTCTGGGGAGAAGCTAGAGAC